AGTGGCCACTTCTTGATCGGTAGCCATTTGGGCGGAGAGAGAAAACGCGAGGGGCACAAGACAGCGATTATCGGTGCGAAACAAGGGTGCGGAGGAAAAGGTGACAATTATACGCGGAAGAGAAGGAGGAAAGTTTCAGAAAAGAAGAAAACTCCTCGAAACCACTATAAACTAAGAGAGAAGAAAAATAAGACGAAAGCGTGGTAAAAGAAAAAAAAAATTGAGAGAAGAGAGTCTGGTTCCTGCTTCTCCCATGTTCTTTTTCCCCGATCGCAACGAGTCTTGGCATCCATCCAGACTTGACGGCTAACTCCCATTCATAGCTTTCTTTCTCTCTTCATTTCCTCATATCTCCTCCAAATGTCTTTCTACGCCCCTCCAAACCAGCAGCGCATGCTGCGCGCCTGTATGGTCTGCTCCGTCGTCCAAATTCACAACGTAAGACCTACTCCTCATCTCCGTTCCGCGGGCGACTCTAACCCCGATTACTCCAGAAATTCATGCGTGAAGGCTGCCCAAATTGCGAGAGCACCCTCCAGCTCCGTGGAAACAATGACGCTATCCAAGAATGCACGTCACAGGTCTTCGAAGGCCTGATCGCTATTCGGGATCCTGCTGCGAGCTGGGTCGCTCGTTGGCAGCGATTGGATAACTACGTGCCGGGCACATATGCGACCAAGGTCACAGGGACAGTAGGTGCACACTTAGTTACTGGAGCAATGAGATCTTTTGCAATTCTCTAGAGCTCTCTTATTCCTCTTATCGGGCACAGAATGGCTAATTGTGTCTTTCACATTGACAGCTTCCGGAATACATCATCAACAGTCTAGAGGACTCTGGCGTTAAATATGTCCCGTGCGTGTTCCCCGAACTCATTTCCCTCATAAGACTAACGATTGATTGTTCCAGGCGAGACGGAAGCACTGGCGAGGAAGATGCATGAAGCACCTACTCTCAAGTCTTTTCAGTCTTTAACGCTACACGAATCCACCCTTGCCCATACAGTCTTGGTTCTGCATACCCTTACAGCGCACACACAATCGATTCAATCAAGACATACAATATAAGGGTGGTTTCAAAAGATTATGCTGGTCGTTCGGAGTTTCGGATGGGAAGCATTACCTACTTTACTTCATATTGTTTATTGGGCTACAAGGGCATACACAGCAGATTTGGATTACTTCTTAGGAGTTTATAATTCCAGTTTTTCGGCTGGTGACATAAAATATAGGAAACAGCTTGCGAAGTAAATTTCCCTACTCTGGCCCCAATAATTCTGTCTTGAGTCATTACTCAATTGGTCACAATGTCCAGAATGTCTAGAATGGCATTTTTGTAGTGACATAAGGTCGTGGCAACAAAGGGATAAAGATGAACCCTCCAAAAGTAAAAAAAAAAAGGAAAAGTGAGACAAAAAGAAAAGGAAAAAACGCTCAATAAATCAACTTGAAAACGCCCGGTCACTTCTAAAGGTCATTGCCGGCAATTTTTTTAGAGGCTCTGGACGATCTGCTCGAGCTTCTCGAGGAGGATATCGGCTGTAAGAGAAATATACATTAGTAACTGGCTTTTAGGCATAAGGAAAGAGAAGGTTGACATACCGTGGTGCTTCTGGAAGACCAGCATAGGGCGCAGACGGACAGCAGATACGCCACTGCCACCGATGTTGACACCGAAGGACTTGGCCTTGGCGACGAGCTGATCACGCTTGGGTGTGTCCCAGGCGATGAATGTACCCTGGTTCTTACCACGGAGGTTCTGGAAGTGCTCGGGGTACTTCTCGGAGAGACGGGCGAGACCGCCATAAAGGTAGTCACCAGTGGTGCGGGTGTTCTCAACGAGGCCAAGACGCTCGATCTCCTCAACGATTCCGCGGAAGATCAGAGCACGGGCTGGGTCTCCCATCCAGGTGTTGAACTGGCGGTAGGGCTTGTTGGGGCGCAGAGCGGGGTTACCGAAGTAGTAACCGGCAGTCTGGGCCTTCTTGGAGAAGGTGACCATGTCGGGAGGGGAAGACAGGTTCCAGTGGTCGTGGGCCCAGAACTTACCGGTGGCACCAACACCGGTCTGCACCTCGTCGACGATGAAGAGGACGTTGGTACGCTTGGTGATGTCGCGGAGACCCTGGAAGAAGGCGGGGGAGGCGTGGTTGTCACCACCCTCGGACTGGATGGGCTCGACCATCACGGCGGCGACGGGGTTGTGGAACTCCTTGATGAGACGCTCAACCTCAGCCAGGCAGCGCTGCTCCTCGGCGGCGTTCTCCTGGACGTGGTCCTCCAGCGGGTACTTCAGCTGGGGGAAAGTGGCCTGGGGCCAGTCAAATGCGGGGATATCCAGCTTGTGGATAGCCTTGCTGCGGGTGGTGGACAGGGAGCCGAAGAGACGGCCGTGGAAGGCAGACTTGAAGGAGAGAATGGACAGCTGGGGTGAGCCAGGGCTCTGGTTGTTCATGGTGGAGAGCAGCTCCTCCTCGGTGAACTCGACCTCAGGGCCACCGCGCTGCATCTGGCGGTAGTACATGAAGGCCGCCTTGTAGGCAGTCTCGTTGGCATCAGAGCCAGCCATGGCGGTGAAAACCTGGTTCAGGCCCTTGGGGGCAGCACGGAGGACACCAGTCTTGAGAACATGGGCCCAATCGGAGGAGGGGAAGTTACCCAGGGCCGGACGGTTAATCAGGGCGCAGGACATCTCGGACGATGCGGCAACCTTCTGGAGGTGAGGGTTGTTGTATCCAACGGGAATGGAAGCAATCTGAGCATACCTGCTGGGGTCAGCTTCTGTTTCCAATTGACTTGTGGCTGGTAACTTACACATCAAGGAGCTTGTTTCCATCGAGATCAGCAATGCTAAAGCCAAGGTTAGTCGAGTCTTGATGGCGGGTGAGGGTCTGTCGTACTAGTTTCCAACGGACTGGTGGTAGTCGGTCAACATGTTCAAGCTGCGGACATCGAAGACTTCGTCGAGCTCGGCGGTGGCGGCCTTGTTCTTAGGTCCGGGGATTGTCCCCGAGACGGAGGGAGCGGTAGGCTCGTTGGGGAAGTAAGACTTCTCCGCTGCACGCAGACCGGCAGTGGTGGAGAGAGCGCGAGCTGCCGGGAGGCGAGCTGCAGAGCGCAGCCGTGTGCTGGCACGGAAGACCGAGGACATTGTGATTTTAATGTGAAGGGGAGTGGAGAGGATGAGAGATGAATGACGTGGGGGAGGGGGGAGAATAGCGGTCTAATCAGCTATCCGGTGTAGGGAAAAAGGAGCCCTGATCAATCGATATAATGGGGAGAAGAAGGCAACAGATGTAAGACAGATGTAGGACGGATGAAATAAAATTGAGGACCAAAAGGCGCGGGGTGACTTTATACTTGGTGCAAATGGAGAATGTGTTATCGGCCTTATCCTAGAGCTCGATAGCTTCTCCCCGCGTATGTTACTTCTACTTCGGTGAGATTGACCAATCGGGGGGCTGGTGCCGACAGCGAAACGCCGAATATCCGATGGGGTATCTGGACGAATTGAGAAGGTCTACGCTGGTGGATTCTTTGGTCAAATCTATATGGTAAGAGTTTCCATTTGAAAAGGGGGGTACTGTATTTATCTCAATGGGTTCGAGTGGGCAAAAAAATTCAAGTCTCGTCGTCATGCCCCTGCTGTAGATCATTCCAAGGTTCCGGCATCGATAAGCTAAGATCTTGGCGTTTCTTATCTAAGTTGCCCAAGGGTATGCGAGTTGATGCTGAGGTCAAAGTGCGGGGGTTAAGGATCTGACCGTATTTTATAGTATATAATGTACTGTAGGTCCTTGCTATTTGACACATTGGCTCAATTGATACAGGTCTTGTTCTACAAATGGAACTTCCTGTAAGAACCTTTTAGGTTATATATATCAGTAGACAATACCGCAAATACATGTGCAATCCAAAGTCACAATCACTTTTATTATTCTAAAAACACGAAGGACGGAATTTGAGAGCCACCGATAACCCAAACTATTTCATTTATACTGGACTGAACTGAGCTTCGGCTGATAAGGGTAGACCTGACCACCAACTTTTGATTTGGCTATTAATACACTATTCTCCACAACCAACCAATCAACTGGGCTTGTGGTTTAGTGGTATAATACTCCCTTAGCATGGGAGTGGTCCAGGGTTCGATTCCCTGCAAGTCCAGATCTTTTTTGCCTCATTAATAATGAGGTCAATCTTCTTTTTGGTGGTAAAGCTTACTTAATATGCGTGATGCACTGTTATTGTTAATAATATTATTGTGTGGTCGGACGTCACGTTGAGTATAATTTCTTTTTCTAAATTTGTGTTCAAATATTCTATAACTCAGTTGGCTATAGCTAGAAGATAAGTCTTGGATAATCCTCCCAATACCTGGGATAGTCTAGCCAACTGACACGTGCTATCAAACAGTCGATTTCTCAGAGTGTACAAGTAGTCAACGAAGATGATACAAGAACCCTTAGTTGAGGATCCTTAGAAGCACCATGCGCCGATCAGAATCCACTCAACCATGCAAGGTTGGAACTAGCGCAGGTGATTTCGGCGCACGGTCAAATCGGTAATGGACGTGTACCCCAGAGCCGAGGATGATCATTGCTTGGAATATGCCCCACGAGATCGTGTGAGACAGATACGGCGTATACTACCACCTGTATATCTCATGTCATATATGTCCCATTTCGATACGTATAGCAGAAGAGACATGTGACTGTACGGCGAAATTATTCGAACTAAGTACCGTCCATCTGTTAAACAAGTGATCGTCGGAGTCACGATAGCCTTGATATAAATGTACAAGGTGTATCGTGTCTGGAATATCCCCCTCCCCCCAAAGCGCAATAAAACCATCCAGGCTAACGTGACATAAATGTTTGTACAAAAGAGAAGAAGAAAAGAAAAGAATGAGCAGTGCGGTTAACGCGACTGCCGTTCACCAAAAGGAGAATGCGTATCGCCCGGCCCAGATACAGAGGAGGTAGCACTTGCCGGGGAGACCTAGACCATACCCCTCTTTATCTCAATGCTATCTGCAGGTGTGGGGGCACGGCTGTGGTTATCAGATGTAATATCGTAATCATGTCCCATCTTATCATGGCTCGCGAGTCGGGACTCAGTCCAGCTCTCCATCTCGATGGTGCGCATAATTCCAAACTGATCACTGTTATAGCTGGGCTGGTGCAAACCGTCGGTAACAACACGGGATGTTCGAGAGCGGCCAGTTGAATACAAGTGCTTATGGGACCGACTACGCTGGTTGTAGGAGGAGTTTATGTTGCGGGTTGAGCTGAGGAGGCGGGGAAGGAAGGCTGCAATGAGGGGACGGAGGGCCGGGGCTGAAGAGCAGATCTGTTGACTATTAGCATTTCACATCCCGAGTAGCAAAACTGTTGATCTCTCACCAATCCCAGGCTGATTTCCACTATGGCAGCGATCAGCACTGGCCATCCAAGCCAGGTCGCATCATAACCGATTACCATACTCTTCCACACGTATACTGTTCGGACAGACCCGGCTACATTAACCACGACACCGAGGGCAAAGATAGAGATAACGGCGAGTCGTTGACGAGCGGGGAGTTTCAGACTCCAGATCAATGGCATTGGTAGGGTCGTGACCAGGAAATCGGTGAAGATGTTGATCACACTGGCGGAGAAGACAATCGCGCCATCATTCATGCAGTGATATGACTCGGTGGGGCTAAGTTGCCAGTATGCGCGGACAGGACTATAGGAAACATTAGCAACGGTGCGAGACCATAACACAAGATGACCCACTCACGTGCACTGGAAGATACTGATCAGAGAGAACATCACACTAGAAACCCCAACGAAAATGATGGACAGAATAAACGCCCAGTTATACAGTTTGAAGTTGCCCTTTCCGATAAGTCGTCGACAGAACCATAGTACAGAGATCTTGGTGAAGCAAGACGACAAGGAGAACAAGATCTGGAATGAGAGGTTCAGCTTCTGCACAGTGACGAGTCCCAACAATTCAATGTCCCAGATATGTCGGTTCATGCCCCAATCTTCAGTGGCGACCGAGGTGACGGTGGCCATGGCGATGGCGAAGACTAGACCGATAATAATAAGCAGATCATCGATACCTGCGCTGCATGTAATCCGGAGCCTAGTGTATAATCGGAGGGAGACAACCAGGGACGCCAACGTGAGACAGACGATATTGACGACGAGGACGCCGTGCCCGCGCGTGGGAGGGTCGACATAGTTTGGGATTGGCCATGAGTCCACGATGTCTGCTGGAGGGAGCTTCATGATCTTAGCCGTACAAAAAAGAAGGAAAGATTAAAGTGCAAGGAAAATAGACAACTTGTCTAGACAAGTGCCACCGCCATATCTCAAGCCAGAAATCGGACAAATCAAGAAATGAAGAGACTCAAGAAAGTCAACTTAGACGGGTATATTGCGTAAATCATGGAAAGAGAAATAAAATGCACCAGGGATATGGAGTAGATATAATGTATAGGGATGGTAGGCCGAGACATCTATATTTTCAATACATAATCATAGGGAGATCAGAGAAACTTTCGGGGAGAACACATTGATCATTGGAGAGGACCTTCGACCAAACAACAAACGAACCAATATAGAAAGGGCCTACTCCCGATGAGCCCTATGTTGTGGGTAGATACACCGGACCGAGTCAATGTCCGCTCGACGCCATCTCAAACTTGGTAACAAGGCCGAAGGTTGGTGCGAAGTGGGATGGGATGGACAACGATAGGTGGATACAGAGCCATTGTTCCCTTTTTCAGCCCCACCGTGCATTGCGATCTGTGATCTGAGGCTGTGAGAGGTTATATTAAAAGAGGACCCCTGGCTTCAAGCACCGAATAGAAATTTAGAATAGAAAGTTAAAAAAAACACGGACCTCGTCTAAATGTAACTAAGGAGCTTTTTCCGACATGTGGCCGATAGGCCCGTATCGCGGTGAGCCGAGGCTTACTACGTTTGATTTTGAATCTTCAGAATTTGCTATGTAGAGCGTATGGACGGAATATGAAGTAGGCAACCATGGCAACTAATTCCAACTATTTCAGAACAAAAGGATTGTTTGTACAAAGTAGTTCATCTCGCAAGGTGGGGTTATATTCCCGTTTCCACTTTGCTTTCGCCATATCAAATCGTCCCGACTCTCCACGAGAGGCGTTTAATATAAAATCCCTGGCACTGGTACATGTGAAAATGCGGACCAAGACAAGAAGCGCAAGCGTAAAGGGCTGCGCCAAAAAAGCGCGTTTGGCCTGCTTACGAAGCGACATAGTTCAACCTTGGAAACCTTGGCCCATTTTTGGGATCTTGATGCCTGGATGTGTGAATAAGCACCGCTTACGCCCGCCTACGCCCACTAATTCCCCGTTATTTAGTTTTTTACAGTGCTCAAAATATAGTATTGCTGTGCAGCTGGCGCTTTGAAGATCAGCTTGGCGAATCAGGGCGATGTCAACCGTACCCGGTTGGTCCGCCTCAAAAAGAAGCAGTCTTCTACCTCTTCTTCTTGAGGTCTATTTCTCTTATTTGGATATAAAATGAAACCTAGACGACGGACCTATCGTAGACAGAGTTCTAGTGGAACCTACAGAGGTGGAAATTGGAGTTGGAACCTCAACATTACGTATTCTCTGACTTGTCCTATCTGATGAAACTGCTAGGTGTCCCTGTCCAAAACGTGCCGGCTATGCAGAAGACGGTTGGAAATTTGGATGGTGCCAAGTCATTTGAATGGTTTACCGAACTATCACTGCCTTCTTGGGGTTTGGGTTCGTCAAGCATCCCCGAGTCCGCTTGAGGGAGGTCGCTTCGCAGTACCCGGAGGTACCGGTCTTTGCGAGGGGTGGATGAGACAAGGCTTCCGCGAATGTATAGCACATGCGACAGGTTCTGAATATGTTAACTGATGCAAGAGAGGAAGGAGGTTGGGCCAGACCATGTATATTACATGATCTAAGTAGAGGTCAGACTGAATGGAGCTGACCACAAAGGCACGATGGATGTTTCAAGTCTGACCCAGAGTAATCGGAATATAGGTGCATGATCGACGAGGTTGATGACTAGACAGCATCATTGTTACGCCTTGAATCCTTTTTCTCGCACAACTCTATTTCACAACTTTTCACTCAATATTCTTTTTTTCCAAGCTTCTTTTTGCGGTCTTCTCATCAAATTTCTTCGTCGGAATGTCTATTCTCGGATCCCCTGAACTTTACATAGGTACAGAAGTTACCTTCACCGCACCATCACCCCAAAAGTGGGTTATCGAGGGGAAAGTGACTGAGGGTGTCCAACAAATGACAATGTGGGAACTTAATGGTGGCGCTGGTCCTCCCTTTGCCGTCTTCAAATATCTCTGCCACAGTGCGGAATATAGCGACAAGAAGGCGTTCATGCGAATCTATTTCCAGATTCCTGAAGTTCGAAAAGGACAGACTGCTCCGCCACGAAAACATCGAGAGCTAGACATCCCGAAGGATCTAAACCGACGACAATGTCCCGTGGTCCCGAGTCTCCTTGCCTATAAAGAAGGAAAACAAGGTAATGATGGCCTAGTCCCAGATGGATACATTACATATATAGGGCCTTAAGTGTGCATTTGGTTTCGTTAGTACATACGAAACCATTTTTCTCCGACAAGTCCACTTGGCTAATGGCCAATGGCTTGTGGAATACGTATAAATCGAAAGTAACAAGGGTAGGAGCTGCTGTGGATCAATACACCACAACCTTGGGTCCAGTAGTGTAACACGCGCTGTGGTCTTATGTCTGCATAAATAATAGCTGAACATGCAGATTTGCTCTTTACTAGCCAAATGCATATCAGGACTACCATATACTCGACAGGACCCTGAACGTTTGATACTCTCGACATTTCAAGGCTTCAGCAATATACCCTTTGAACTCAGAAGCCACACACTAAGCGGATCATATGATAACCTTGGAAATTGCGGGGATTTCTGTCTGGGATATGCTTTTATATCATGCTCCAACGTGGTGCAACGTTCTCGTAACTTGAGTCATCTTCTATACGACCTTTGTGTTTCTTTGCTGACTGTATGAGCTGAAGCCCTTTGATTGTAGCCATCGACCATGCTCCATCCGAAAGCTCCATCCCCAAAGCCGTCTCCAGCTAAGCTTCGGTCCACTGCCAAATGGCGTCCTACCCGGAACGGCTTACACGGACCTATCCCAGACAACCTTAAATATCCTCAGAACACAGGGCCAGTGGTAAATAGGGCCGGAGTACTGGGAAATATGGACGCATTGTTATATCTGTAGCACCTGCACACTCACAAAAAGGGCTAATATAGCTGCCACTAATTGCGTTGAGGCTTTTTGGTTGTCTGACAACTTCAATCCATCATTATTTGCTAACGTAGATGCATACATAATCCCAAACCTCTTTCTGCTCGTATTTTGACTGCCACCTGAACCTGTGATAAAAAGCTCTTTCCGTTTGCTTTTCATCAATCATAATCTTCTCTTCTTCACCTTCTCAACCCCCGAGCCACATTCAAGAGTTCGACTACATTTCATCAACTTTCGCAAGAACATTCAATTACAGTCTCTCTGATTCGCTTTTTCTCATCGAGAGAAAACCCTCAGGCATCAGAATGCCTGATCCAACCGGAAATGACGCGGTTGGGGGGTATGTAATCACAAAATGACCACCATTTTATCCCAAGCTCGGGTACTGACACATCAACTAGAATGACCGAGAAAGTCATTGGGGAGTAAGTAGCGTAGCACAGATCTGTGCTGATAGAGGTGGCTCTTCTCTTCAGCTTCAGGTCAAACTGATATGCAATAGGATCAAAAACCCCCTCGCTGGAATCCCCCACGACCAGCTTATGGCAAATGTGACGGCATATGCCACCGAATACAACCTTGAGAGTATCTTGCCCCTCTTGAAGAAAGGTGCTCTGGTAGCTCAGTCCCCAGCGGGGGTTGGAGAAATCCCCGAACTCAATGATGATGACCGCCGTGTCCTTTACGAGGAGCACACTCGGCGCTGGAAGCACCCATTCGCGTTGTACTACACCATCATCCTAAACTCGATCTCGGCAGCGATTCAAGGCTGGGATCAAACTGGTCAGAATACTACTATGTTTAAGCATTCAGGCTCTGTCTTGGCTAATGTTTCTCATAGGTTCGAACGGTGCTAACCTGACCTTCGATGTCCAATTTGGTATTCCAAATAACTCGCCTCAATGCCCTGACCCGGAGACTTGCAAGCGTAACCAGTGGATTGTCGGTTTTATTAATGCGTCCCCATACATTACCATCTGCCTTTTGTGAGTACTATACTTGTTCTACATTCAAGCAATCTTCTGATGTATATCTCACTTCACAGTGTTGCTTGGCTCTCTGATCCCTTGAACCATATTCTCGGCCGTCGTGGTACAATCTTCCTGGCCGCAATCTTCAGTCTCCTATCCCCCCTGGGCTCCGCTTTTACTCAGCATTGGGGTCAGCTCATTGCCTGTCGTGTTCTTCTCGGACTTGGCATGGGTCTCAAAGAAGTCACTGTTCCAGTTTACTCGGCTGGTAGGTTCTTTTGGTTTATACACTCCAGTCAGTCATGAATATAATAATAAGGCTAAGCTTCATCAGAAAATGCACCCACAAACATTCGTGGCGGCCTGGTTATGTCCTGGCAGCTCTGGACGGCCTTTGGTATCTTCCTCGGAACGTGCGCAAACCTCATTGTGGCCAACACTGGGGATATCGCTTGGCGACTACAGCTGGGATCTGCATTTATTCCAGCTGTGCCATTGCTTCTTGGTATCTGGTTTTGTCCCGAGTCTCCACGATGGCTGATGACCAAGAAAAACCACAAGAAAGCCTTTGCGTCTCTTCTAAGGCTGCGGAATAGCCCTTTGCAGGCCGCTAGGGATCTGTATCAGATCCATGCCCAGCTGGAGATGGAAAAGCAGTTGATTGCCGAGTCGAGATTCTCCAAGAGCGATAACATGTTCGTTCGTTTTGTCGAATTATTCACGGTACCCCGTCTACGTCGTGCCGTCCAAGCTTCTGGCATTGTGATGATCGCCCAGCAGATGTGCGGAAGTAAGTATAAAACCCGAGACAGGGGATGAATTGAACTAATTGTATCGTCGCTTTCTAGTCAATATCATCTCGTTCTACTCCTCAACCATCTTTCAACTGGCTGGTGCTTCCAACATCGAAGCACTTCTTGCATCATTCGGGTTTGGTCTTATCAACTTTGTGTTTGCCTGGCCCGCAGTATGGACAATCGATACATTTGGCAGACGAGGCTTGCTACTTTTCACCTTCCCACAGATGTGCTGGACACTTCTCGCAGCTGGGTTCTGTTTCTGGATTCCCTCAAGCAGTAATGCGCACATTGGATTGATCGCATTCTTCATCTACCTCTTTGACGCATTTTATTCTCCCGGAGAGGGACCAGTTCCATTCACCTATTCTGCCGAGGTGTTTCCGTTGTCCCACCGTGAAGTTGGAATGGCCTGGGCTGTTGCAACCAACAACTTCTGGGCTTCTGTTCTCTCGCTGACGTTCCCATGGATGTTACGAGAATTTACCCCGCAGGGTGCCTTTGGATTCTATGCCGGCTTGAATCTTGTTGCATTTGCTTTGATATTCTTCTTTATGCCAGAAACCATGCAGCGCTCCCTTGAGGAATTGGATTATGTGTTTGGCGTCCCGACTCGAACTCACGCCAAATTCCAACTCACCCAGGTTCTCCCGTGGTGGATTAAAAGGTATGTCCTGATGCGCAAGGATGCGGTCTGCCCCGAACTTTACCGGGTCACCCAAGATTACGCCACAGCTCCTTTCCCAGAGAAGCGTGTGAATGCCGAGAAGGAGGAACATCACGCCGAACACGTTTGATCGCAGTTTCAAGATGCAAGCGATCTGCAAGATCCGATTGCTGCTTTTTTAGTGGTCGTATGCGTGTCAGATCTTACCCTCGTGGATTTTAGATAGGGAGTTTCGCTCATTTAGGGCTGAACTATGACCACGTTCGCCACTTTATCGTCAGTTGCTTTTAGTTTACTTTAATCAATTTGACTCAAACCTCTTCCACCACAATTATATGTAGTATTTGAGAATGTCCATCCCATATTCTTGTCTTCGTCTCATCGCAAGCAAAGCCCCGCGTTCTCGCAAAACATTCAATCTCCACATCCCTTGTTATGTGAAGCCACACTCTTCTGCTCGCCGTACAGGTATTACCAATGTGGACATTGATAAAATCGAGATTGCCGTGGCTGCTGTTCCACGCGACGGGGCAGCTAATATTGCAGTGTCGCACATCTTCGCAGAGGTAGGAATTGCCCTTGATTTGTTTTCTTGCTGTCTTGTCTATAAAACAAAGTCATAAAATTCTTATCTGACCATTTGCTAGATCTTTAAAGTTTCAAAATCGAGCGTGGGAGTTATTCGTGGCGCGAAATCACGAGAGAAAATCGTGTGTGTGGCCGACCTGGATATCGGAGACGACGGCGAAGAAGCATACTTGCAGCGTGCGACACAAAAATTAGAGGCCGCTGTCAAGACACGAGACTCCTAGCGTGAAATTTGAAGCTGTAGAGACTGTCAATTCTCAATCGCTGGCTCATAGTTTTGATACCACTCTATTGTTGTTTGATCCCGTGACGCAAAATCCCGTCACTGTTTTTTTTTTTAGAGCTCCGGCCGAACATCAACCTCCGACTACCCCGAACAGTTCAGAAAACCAGCCAGGATGACAGATACACAGGGTGACATGCAGATTGACGCAAATGTCTCACTAACGGAACCTGCCAAGCGCAAAGCGCCAGAGCCAAAGCCAAAGACTCTTCATTTCACGTCGCGTAATCCACCCTGGACATACCTTAAGCTCAAGCTGTAAGCTATCCATCCTTTATTCGGTCGCTGTCAGACATGGACTTCCCGTCGGAAACCAAGCTAACTTTGAAATCTTAGTATACCCCAACCAGGAAGTGCACCACAACCCCTCGATCCCCTCTCCGCACGAACCTACCTCTCCTCCGCATTATCGCAATTCCTCGGCCTGACAGGAACAGCCATTCCGATCGACATTTTGAAGATCGAGAATGGATCCCCCTCAACCACGAAGTACGATGTTGTGTGGATTCGCGTTCCTCGCGAGGATGCCTCGGCGGTCGTGAGCGCAGTGAGCTCATGGATTGGCGGCGGAAATAATTCAGCAGGCTCTGCGGAAGTTGCATGGAGGGTTTGTGCCAAAGGAAATTTCCTAGGCGCCCTGATTGCTGGCTCTGGGGCCGATTTGTTCGTCCCCTAGGCTTGTGATTTGTACTCCTACTTTAAAAGCGAGTACTATGGAAATAATTACCGAACTGTGGCTACTTGGTACATTTGACTGTCTGTCAAATGTTGCCCTCGGTTCATGGCGAAGCCCATGTGACCTCGGTCGCAATCCACGGGTGCTATCGTGCATACTGCGTAGGACTAGTGGCGTGGCGTGAATGGGCCTGCACGGCTGCGGCAATGCCCCCCCACGACACATGCGGTGACGATGCCAGCTCAAAATGGAACGATATTGACTTTGTCTGATACCATGCGCCTGGCAACAATCGAGTGTCAGAGACCGAGCCCAAGGCTCCGTGGGACGGAATGGGACATGGACACTTGGCCGACACCGGCGACGGAAGGCATATAGCACTTCTGGCAACTTCATATTCAATTAAGAAGAAAAGGAATCGATTTTGGAACCAATATCAAGCTATGGACGCAACCACAAGACAGATAACTCCTTTTTTTGTTTCGATTTGGTGTCAACATGACTCAAATGAAACGCCATAACCCACACGCTGCTGAATATACCACAAACAATTTGATGCCGCTGATTTAAATGCACGATTAATTCTCACCCCCTGCCAAGAATATGACCTTGTATCTCTCCCTAGCCGTTGGCAACTTATTTGCAAGGACGATTAGACCGACCCAGTGGACTTGGGGTAGATGTTTTCCTCAATTGTAGATGTATCTGACGCCGAATTCGACGGGTTGATAACCACCTTGGTTCTAAGTGCGCCACGAATATCCTGGACAGTCCGCTCTTTCCAGTCAGGGTATCCCAACTGGCTAAGAGGGTATAGAACAAGGTTTTCAGCGCGCGACATGAAGTCGTCAACCGTTGGTCGGGGAGCGGCAGTCATAACATCCATTTCCAAGGCGATCTGTCGGCAGTAGGTGTCCAGTGGAAGATCGTTGACATCATGACCGAATGGGTTCTCAATTTCACTGCCGATGGTAGCCAAGCCGAGGATGATATAGGCAGCCACTACAGGGCCTGTTAGAATTGCTCTTGTACTTGTGTAAGTGAGATGATTCAGCGGTTCTTACCAATTGATGCTGGGATGGTGATCCATTCCAAGGCACTGTAGAGCTGGAATGGAAGTACCAGGATGTAGATCCATGAGATCTGGGCAATAGCAATGCTGTATGCAGTAGGTAAGGGGGTGTCCAGGACACGTTCTGTGCCTGTCAAAACCTCATTTAAGGTGGACAGCATGGTAACTTTTGTTGGGTCAGAGTTGGAGCATCACAAGATAGGGGTGGAAGACTCACTGGCTTGTCCTTGGTGCAGAGTTGAAACCATGGTGCCATTGGCTACAACTGAATCGATATATGCGGAGATATGGTTGAGGATCTCCAGGGGCAAATGTCCAAGAGGCTTCTTGGATCGCTTGACATACTTCCGAGGGTTTGACTCGGCAAAGGATACACCAAGGTACTCTCCTGTGGACTTCCAAATCGATTTGGGCGGAGGGTTGACAACCATGCGGTCGTGGGCATCACGGGCAAAAGTGTCAAGGTGTCCAGCTAGGCCAGCTAGATCGTCGTATGCGATATCGGGTTCGAAACGGAGCTTGTGCTTAAGGGCGACGGCGAAGGCCAAAATGAGGTTCATCGCAGAGCTATACCGCGGTTATTAGAATCAATAATACCAAGATGCAACCACCGGGGGGTTAGCGCCTACAGTTTTCTCAAGATGTCCTCTTTTCCCTCTTCACCTTCTCTCTCGCCGGTATTAATCCAAATTGTACGCGAAAGGTTGCGAGACGTCTGAATGAGCTGGGCCCAATATTTGCGCCCATCTGCCCATCTGTAGTGCATGCCGGGTTAGTGCATGACTCGAGTCGAAGCTAAAAACGAGGGAATAGTATACCTCTCGTATGCAGTTGAGCTGCGGAACGACAAAGCCAAACCCACCACGAAACCCAGCACGGTGAGCAGGATGTTGTTGATACCGACTTGTGCGAGTTAGAATGTAAGTAATTTCAAGCTACGTATTGTTCTAGCAATTGGGGAATACTCACGATTATGGACCTTTTTCGAAAAGACAGTAACAGCGGTCGACCAAATAGCGACAGCCAAAATGGGCATGATCATTTTCGGCATGACACTACCGTGCATTCGCATCATGATAGGCCATTTGGAGTGCTTTTCCATGTTCCGGGGGCCATGCTAGACAAAGAATATATTAGTCTGGCAATCTATTATCCCATTCCATATGGATGTCCTTCTGTTTGTCTTCTATATAAACCATCTCTCAATGCCAATGACTTACAAAGTATCGATCTAATTCGCTCGAATCCCGTCGATCAAGTTGGAATTGCGAGTCTCGCGAGGTAGCGAGATGTTCCAAGAACGTTGGCCGAGGAGTCACACGTCCAATGGAGCCATGATCCTTCTCATGGTGTGTTGCTGTTTGATGAGGGGTGGCGTGGGAGCGCGACTCGGCGGGGACTGGCGCAGCAGTGCAGTCTGCCGCTGCTGCCGGTGCCGGGGCATCGGCCGGAGGGGCACTATGGCCGTCTGTCATGATGAGACGACAAAGGTTAGAAAGGGAATGGTAAAAAGAAGGTGAATGAAGTCGGAACAAGGCTCGTCCGAATTTTAATAGATTTGACTAGTAGAAAGAAAAGGTACGAGCGAAATTTGAATATTAAAGAGAGTTAGCTGAACAAGAAGAAAAAGGAAAAAAAAAAAGCAGGGGAAGCGAAGGTGAAACCGTTGGCGTTCGCTTCATAGGGGCCGTTTCATCGGGATCTAGACTGACGTGGAGCCGACGGACACGTCCGCATGTTTAATTTTAGCCCTTCAGGGGAAGTTTTGGTTTGGAATTCTATTGGTCTATACTAAGTTCATGGGGAATGGCTCGTGTATTAGGGTTGATACCCCATCTCATTCAAGCCTCAAAGTATAGAACGTTTCAATTTGCCAATTCCTAGTAGACCTGAACAAAGAGAAAAGCCCTAATAGAACGGACAAAACCTTAAAAGACAAATGTCTACCCGTTCCAAAATGTGATCTCCTGAAAAGGGTATAAAGTTTAAGCATTGAGTAGTCTATAGTTTCTATTATAAGTCTGCACACGGAGTACGCCGTTCTTTATAGTACTTGGTATATATTAATCCCTCGAGGGGGCTGTGGGCGTTGGACACGCTAATCCTAAAAAGGGAAAAGGATCCGGGTTCGTATTGCCCCCTGCTTTTTTCCCGTCCTTTTGCTTTTTCCACGTTGCAGGACATCGTGGCGAAATGGCAAACTCAATGGAAACTTTCCTCAATCTAGATGAGATTGAAGAAGCCGCCACTAAAATAGTGAGCAAAAAGGCATGGGCCTATTATTACTCGGCGTGCGATGACAAGATCAGTAAGCACAAAAATACCGAGGTCTACCGCTCCATCCAATTAAGACCAAAGGTCTTCGTTGACTGCAAAGAATGCGATGTAAACACAAAATTGTTAGGCAACAATGTGTCTATCCCAATTTATGTTTCCCCAGCGGCTATGGCCCGACTAGGGCACCCCTCTGGGGAAGCTGGAATCGCAGAGGCATGTCGCAGCTTTGGCGCTTTGCAGATCATTTCGAACAGTGCGTCGATGACGCCTGAGCAGATTGTTGCGGGTGCTGCCCCGGACCAATCATTTGGTTGGCAACTATATGTGCAAAACGATCGAACCAAGAGTGAACGTATGCTGGAGCGAATCAATAAATTGAGTGCAATCAAATTTATCGCTCTGACACTGGATTCTCCCGTGACCGGAAAAAGAGAGGACGACGAGCGCAGCGGCAATGTCATCAGTTCCGAGGCTCCCTATCAGACCGACAAAAATGACTCGGGCATAATCCTCCCGGCTGCAGACCCAGTCTTCAAGGGAATGGATCCTGCTCTTACATGGACAGAGACCCTCGCGTGGTTGGCAAAGCACACCAATCTTCCGGTTGTTCTGAAGGGCATTCAAACACACGAAGATGCGTATATTGCCAGCCTGCACACCCCCCAAGTCAAAGGAATCATCCTTTCAAACCATGGTGGTCGGTCTCTTGACACGGCTCCTCCTGCCGTCCACACCCTGCTCGAAATCCGGAAATACTGCCCCGAGGTCTTCGACAAAATTGAGGTCTGGGTTGATGGCGGGATCAAGAGGGGAACCGATGTAGTCAAGGCTCTCTGCTTGGGTGCACGAGGCGTTGGAATAGGAAGAGGTGCGCTCTGGGGCTTGGCAGCTGGAGGAGTGGACGGCGTAAAGAGAACATTGCAAAGTATGATCGGCGAAACTTGGGGTTTTCTGCGAACCAATTTACTAACAGAGCTTAGTATTGACTGACGAGACCAAAACATGCATGCGACTTCTCGGGGTGAAGAGGATTGATGAGCTCGGACCACAACACGTACGTCTGCATATGTGCCCCGGCTGTTTAGCTTGGAATCTTTGACTACAAGTGCTGACTGATAGGTTCGTCCAGATAAACACTCGACAGGTGGAGAAAGAGATCTATGATGGGCCGTCTGGTCTTGAAGCCTGTCGGGCAAACTTCCGGGCAAAACTGTAGAGGACCAAGGAATACTTTGAATTGCTGCAGGGGAATATGGCTAGTGAAATAAAGACCTGTATTGATATTGGGTGATTTGAACCATCTAGATTTTGTCTCAGAATTTTGCCTCTAAGGCTTCTCCAGATCATGTCAAGATTGCAGAACCGCTGGAGAAGATTGACCTATCTACCGAAAAGCGACAGTGGGATGATCGGAGCGCGCTTTCCCCACATTTAACTCACCTTCTCGCCCGCTCCTCACTCCAATTTCTGGACTTCAAACACAAATCACCCACACTTACCCTGATGGCTACTCTGCCGCTTTACAATGTCCGAGCCTTTGTACAGATTATAGTTGCAGATCATAGTTATACTGTAGAGAATTGGACGATCATACTTCTGTGACGAAAAAATCTCGAATGGACCCAGTGATGCCGGTAGAGCACATGGAAGACATCTACATCTAGAGTGTTCTTATCCTTGTCAATCCCACAGGTCCTTATATTTTAGTTGTAAATATTGTTGTAAGTGTCACATGTATTATCTAGAACAAAAGAGCACTGTCCAAACTGGAGAATCCCGCGGCTACGCCACCTTCATTCACCTCTTTGCCCTTAGTCCTCAACAGATACCCACCTTGTTCATTGTGCAAAATCTTCCCGGTATTTTCCCATAGAATGGTTCCATAAACACCAAGCTCTGAGATGACATCTCCTCGAAGGACTTCACCGTCATTCCGCAAGGCAACATTCTGGGCATTGGCTGCAGGATTGATGAGTTCCATAAGCACCCAGCCTCTCCAATCAGATTCTGGAATGGATCGCAAAAAGCCTGGAATATCGGATTTGTAGACATTATTGCCACCTCCTTCACGCTGTGGTTTGAGCACATGGTTGAGAGCAGTATCTGGATTGAGGGCTAGCTCGCGACCTTTACTGTTAACCGACAGGTCATATTGCGGGGCAAAAGTCTCTCGAACTCTTTCAACAAGGGTAGTGTCAATGCCTTTCAAGAAGCTTGACAGATGATCTGGTCCTGTTGGCTCTGCTAGAACTTGCTGAACTTTCTTGCAGCCAGACAGCTGATTGAGCACCGTGGGACACTTGATCGCCGCCGAGCGCTCCAGATGAGTTCGGGCTTGCCAATCACGACTGGATTTGTACTCATCTGGTGCATAGTAAGCTCGAAGATAAACAGTTGTTACCTCGAAGGTCGAGTCGGGAGAATGAGGGGGCTGGTATAACAATGGTCGTGCGGAGTTTGAGCTGGGAATGGATGTTTGATCCAAGATATCCACGCTGGCCACACGGAATACTGGGATGTTGTGAGTTGTCTGGAGCTGTCTCGAGAGTGCATGCTGATCAAAAACGTTCCGTTCTGTCTCTTGGACTACAAAGAGAACACAAAGAGGGAGGGCCGGGGTGGACTTGGACACCCCGTAGGCTTCGTGAGCTGCTGCCAATCCTGCTGAGAGGGTTTCCACTGCGGCGTTTTCCGGTGGAACCTCGGATTGTAGCAGAGGATGGGGCGGATAGTTGATTGATGAACCCGGCGGCGAGGAAAGAAGCTCGGTGTGCATTTGTCGCACAAGAGCTGAGAGTCCTCCGAACGATGACGAAATCGTGTTAAATTCAACTTGCTTTAGAGCTGAGACACCTGTAGGCAGAACATGGGCCATGTAATCGGACCGGAAGAGCCCCAGTGACAGATTTTGAACATATCCCTCCTTCTGCACGTCTAGATGAACCTTCCACAAGTTCGAGACAAAGTCATCAACTTCAATGAGCCTGTGGATGACCAATCATTAGCAATGAACCGTGCTAGAGCAGATATGTCCCTACTCTTCCACGATCTTCCCTAGCCATTCTTCATTGCATGTGATCATAGCATAGAGTTCGTTGTAGATCTCTTGGAGCGCAGTCGCTTCCTCGAAGCAAGTTCTAGGAAACGGACTGGGGAACAGCGTCACTGGCGCATTTGTAGCCAGCACCCCATTTGAATCTGCCCCAGCTGGGATAATTGCTGGGGATGGTCGGACAGCAAGACCATTTTGAATAGCCCAGTCTTTCACAAATGTGACAAGAAACTTTTGTTGAGCTGGGGACAGGTCTGGCGGATAGTTTGAATAAATTGATTCTGCCATACTGAACAAAAATTGATTTAATAGAATCCGAAGTTGCGTAGGCTCAAAGATTCTAACCTCGAGGCTCCGGGGCCTGGGGATTTGTAATTGGCGGGGCATTTAGCGACACCTGAGGCAGGAACACGCACGCAACCACCAACATCGTCCGCCTTCCACTTTGAGAACATGATTACCCCGTTAGTTCCCAAAATAGCTCACCGCCTATTTAAATACTGGCACAAAAAAAGAGCTTCGCGCATGACACCGATTGGGAAGGACCTCGTGGAGAGGATTGTGAACGTGTTTTGTTTGAACGGTTCCCTCTCTTCTCCCCTCTCTTCTCCCACCCAGCCGCTCCCTTTTCAACTCTCTCGCTCATTTAGCCTCTCTTACTTGGCCTTCGCTTATCGTTACCTCAATGCTTCACTATCATCTCTGATTGCTTTCAGTTCTACATACTTGGGTTTGTATTGAATCAGCCTTGATTTGGACGGGGGCCTCGACATGGTAAGTCATATGTTCATTCCAAATTTGTCCTTTGTCCAGTCGCGTCTTTGAGACAAATGCGCGCCTGGCACGTTTGAACTGCCCGCTAATCCAGTACAGGCCCCCCCAATAAACATGTCTTTAACCAAAGACCCTCAGGACTGGACGGTCGACGAGGTTGTTGCATTTCTCTGCCATGACAAGCCTGGGGACTGGTCGTACAATCTGGCTTCCCCAGATCTCGTGGCTCTGGAGACCTCTCTCCGAGAAAATTCCATCTCAGGCGTAAGTTTTCTCGAGATCACAGACTATTATGTGAAAGAGCTAGGCGTGAAAGCTATTGCGCAACGCCAATACGTCCTGAAAGCCAGTCAATGGTTGCAGCGACGATCGACGAAGTTCCAATTGGAGCAACAGCATCCCCCCCCCAAAGTACTTCTCGAGGAACAGCAACTTTCACCAGAACGCGTCGATGATCCTATTAACGTCACCCCGATTCTTGAGGCTCCCATCGACACCATCACCTCTCTTGATGTGCCAGTCAACCCCAGCCCTCTTCCTGATGGACACTCACCGGCCAAAACAGGGGAGAAGAGATCTCGCCGGGTGGAGACCACTGTCGTGGAACGACCACCCACATCTTCTCTCCAGGAGACACGCCCACCCCACGAACTACCTGATCAGGATTCCACAGTTAGGCAAGAAGATTTCTTTGATTATCTTACCAAGGCTTACCCCCCAGATGATGCGGATATCCTTCCAGTTTTGGGAGAATCCAGCTCCGAGGGTGAATACGATACGGACATTCGCGAGGAAACGGAAGAGGATGAGGGTCAACCCCGCCCGGCTACTCCCCTGGATGATTCTGGGTATCTGGGAGATGCCGAATGCAATGAAATCGTCGATGAATACATTAACGCACGGAAAACCCATTTCGACGAGATTAGGCTGCTGAAAGAGTTACCGAGAGGATTTCAAATTTGGACCAAAGGTCAAAAGCTTCCAAGCATGAAAAGCCGAATTTCGACACATCTCGCCCACCTGGAGAAACGTTGTCAAGCCCTCCGCAAAGCACTCGCTGAGGCGCAGCATTCATCCCGTTTGTCTTTACTCCAAGCATGTGCATGCCTCGACGCCACTGTCGTTGATATTCTCTTGGATAAATGGAAGCTTTATGTTCTCGAGCAACCTACACCGCCGCCAAAAGTTCCTCCTCCCCCACGCACCCCACGAGCAGCGAAGCCCGATGTGAATTCAGACGGCGAGGAGACTTTGAATTCGGATTCAGACTCAGTGCATGAAACCGGAGAAGAAGCGGAAGACGAATCATCAGAACAATCGGAAGATAGCCTCGATCTTGCCTTTATTTCTGATCCCGAAGAGGACGATGTTGCACAGGATCAAGAGGAGCCACATTCTCGCGCAGTTTATCAAGGTGGACCATTCCGCGACTCCTCTTCAGACGAGGACTTGAGCCATCTTTTCTACAAAGAAGAGAAATACGAGCCCCCGGCCGCCAAGAGGCGCCGCCTGGAGAGAGACAGCGTCCACCAAGATAATTCAACTCCACCACTGAATATACCACTGATACCAATGACAACTCTGCCGTTTGACCGGGACGTGGCATTGCCTTCGAAGGAGCGTGAAGCAGAGGGTCAGATGGAGACCTATCCTATCAACCTGGCGCGCCGCCAGACACTTGAACCAGTGGTTTCGGCGAGTGACAACAGCAGTGAAACCGATGATTCTGTGCGTGTTTTTGACGACGTTTATTCTATGACGTGGAAAGCTATCGAGGAGAGTGGAAATCGCTATCACCTGGTAGCAAAAGCCCTCGGAGGTCTGTCGGACAATCGAATCAACCAACTTTCTGATTTTCTCGGGTCTTATATGTCCTTCTCTTATCAAGAATTTACGCGAGACGCCCTGAAACACATGTCTGACGACTCACCGGTAATGGAGGGATGGGATCCCGAAGAGGGCCATTCTGCAATGTTGATGACCGCCTTGTTCGTGTCGTGGATCAATGTTATCCAAGTACCTCTTGGTGCCTTTAAAACAAAGGAAGTCAAGAGAGCGCTTGCAGCAACCAAATATGACCTTGATGAAGATCAATTCTCACCATTCTTCGAATGCTTGAATGATCTTCTCAAGAGATACAAAAAATGGTTGACTTTGTCATCTCGTGTTCAACCTCAAGAAAAGGAACTCACCCAGCACCAGTGGCCCAGACCCAAGAGAGCTGCAGTCTCGATGCCTCTTAATCGGGCTCAAAAGGATGGTCAGCAACGACAAGCAGATCAAGATGAGGCCAAACGGGCCTTCCGATCCCGAGTTGACTATGAACAAATACCTGCAAAGCCAGTTTCGTTCGGGAATCCTGTTATTCACCTTGATCCATATATCGGCAGCCGGATCCAGCCACATCAGCTTCATGGGGTTCAGTTCATGTTCCGGGAAATTGTCGAGAACAACCGACCCGAAGGGTGCTTGTTAGCCCACACTATGGGGCTGGGCAAGACCATGCAAGTGTAAGCTCTAGTGATTGGCTAATTTATTGGGGCTCGGCTAAGCCCTACATAGGATATCATTTCTAGTCACCATTTCCGCTGCCGGGGCATCGCAAGATCCGGCCATTCGACACCAAATCCCCCATGAATTGCGACAGCTCAAAACTCTAATACTGTGTCCAGCATCGCTCATTCAGAATTGGTGCAGAGAATTTACAATCTGGTCCCCTGATAGCCACAGTCTCGGAAAGGTCCGCCCCATTATGGCAAAATCTTCGACCACCGGCCCTGACCGAACTGGAGAGATTTGTGCTTGGAATGACGAAGGTGGTGTACTGATCATCAGTTACGAAATGTTCCGCAACCTCGCTGGGAACAATGCGGGTCAGAACGAGGACCTGGAAAAACAATCGACCAATGAATCTGTGAAGAGTTGGTTGCTGGAAAGCCCAAATCTTGTTGTGGCCGACGAAGCTCAGGTGTTACGCAACAACACAACTAAGATTGCTCAGACAACCTGCCGCATCCGCACCCGGAAACGGATTGCCTTGTCAGGGACTCCGCTGTCCAATGGCTTGAAAGACTACTATTGGATGGTTGATTGGATTGCTCCTGGTTACCTGGGAACCTTTGCTGATTTCAGCGAAACTTTTATCACGCCAATCGAAAACGGCTCGCATGTTGAAAGTACCTGGCTTGACCGAAGAATGGCACTCCAGCGCCAGGAGATGTTCCTTAGGATTATTGACCCAAAGGTACAGCGAGCGGACATGTCCGTACTGACAAACAAACTGCCACCCAAATACGAGTTCTCCGTTTACTTCGAGCTGACAAGCTTGCAAAAAGCTGCGTACAACCTCGTCATTGAAGGTGTACCACTAGGCAAGACTGCGAACGTGAGCTCGAAGCTTCTGTCTTGGCTGTCCCCTATTAAGCTCTGCTGCAATCATCCAGCTCTTCTTAAGGAAAACCTGGCAATTCGAGCAACCAAAAGCACACCTAGCAAACAAAGAAGCCCTAGCGTTGATGATCATGGTCTTAATGCCGGCTTCGACGTGACCACCGAAGAGGTAACCCTTCCACGGTCGACGGTGTCTGAACTGGATGATCTGTTCAGCAAGGTTCCTAACTTGCTGGATCCTAGCCTATCTAGTCGAGTGGCGATCCTCGATGCGATTGTCAACCAGGCAATTGCAGTTGGGGATAAGGTCCTGGTCTTTTCATCCAGTATTCCAACGTTGAACTATCTGGCGCAATTGATGGAAAGAACGCAAAGGAAGTATTATCTACTTCACGGTACAGTGGCCACAGCCGAGCGTTTTGAGATAATTCGCAAATTCAACAAGGATCAGTCCATTCATGTTTTTCTGGTCTCAACTAAAGCTGGTGGTATCGGTTTGAATATCCACGCAGCGAATCGAGTTGTCATTTTCGACTTCCTCTTTAACCCCACCTGTGAGGAGCAAGCAGTCGGACGTGCCCATCGTATTGGCCAGACAAAGCCGGTTTTTGTATACCGACTTATTGCTGGCGGAACGATTGAGGAGAAAATGTATGGCAAGACTGTGTTCAAGAGCCAGCTTGCGGGCCGATTGCTTGATGACAAGCATATCGCTCGGATGGGGTCGAAAGCTGAGGATAAATATCTGGTCCCCTGGGAAGAGAGTACCCAGAAAGGTGGAATTGATGAACTCGCATCTGATAAGGATGCAGAGATGATGGAAAGACTCAAGTCTGAATGCGCTGAGTCTATACTCAGCATCAAGCTTTGCGGCGAGGAGCTTGATCCTGAAGACATGTTGACAGTTGAAGAACAACAATCTGTGGAAGACGCGTTGGAACTTAGACGCTCCAAAATGTCTTTCGAATCTTGAGTTTGTGTTGAGCGTGCCCTTTTCCTTTTTTGCCGTCTCTTTTTCTCTTTGTTTGAGTGATACCCAAGTCCGTCAATGTTTACATATCATGTAATAACATGTAAGATTCTTTTGTGACATATTCCAAGTACACGTAGGAAGAGTCGCCGGCTTATGCCTTGTGGTGTCTTTTCGGTAGTCTTTTCGGTAGTCTTTCAGCAGTCTATCAGTAGTTCTTTTAGATATTCTTGTCCTCCTTAGTTCTACAGACGACAGAAAGAGAGAGTTTACGGAACTGACCAGTCCGGGAATACACGGGGCAACACCCACAGTAAAATCCACCACAGCGCGCCAGTTTGTGCCAGACATAGTCTTTCCCCAGAGACCTGGAATGGCGAATGTATACCGAAATGTCGGGTTATTGGACTGGTATAAAGCGGGAGTATCGTGTCGACAACGGTTGGTGACATAGAAATCGAACATCATGATCGCACCGATAGGTCCAAGGAAGAACATACTACGTATAGGCTATCTTGCTTTCGAATAGTGGGAAATACTTCCGAATGAACACCACAAGGTAGAAACAAGTGGGATTGTAGGCATGGATAGTATTTCAATGGAGAACCCAAGAAAGTACAGTCTGTATTCACAGCGGTCGCGGGGGCATTCGTAGGGGCACTGCCCGCAGGTTTGTACCTCCCTGACATGCTTCGTGCCATTAGACTAGGTAGAACCGAGGCCCTAACCTAGTTCCAGCCTAACCTAGGCCACAGCAAAGATCCAATCAGTGCCCTCAATACATCCATCATTGAACGTGAGACTAAACTGTTGAGAAGAGAAGAAATAAGGAAGACAAAGTGGGAGGGGCCAGGTATTTACAATTTCCCAGTGGCTTTAAGACGATGGGGGAACTGGGGTAGGTGACTAGGTAACTACCTGGGTACATATATAGCAGGTACTTGGTACTTGTTCAAAACGTATTGGGCTACTGATTATATAGGTACCCAGGTACTTGGGTACTTTAGTCCTTCTATTGGTTATGTACTATGTACCGCCATGTTTCCATATCTCTGAAGTCACATTATCTCATGGTGTTATTGAATATGATTTTCGGTCTACTGAGTGGACCTTAGATTGATGGAACGAGACGGTGGTTGGGAACCTGTAGCAACCTAGTTTTGACGCCGAGTTCTCAAGGGGGCTAATGAATACAGAGTAGTTGATGCTGCCGATGATTTTGATGCACTTTGATGGAGTCATTGTGCAATGTGATTTTGTGTTAGTAAAATTCACGGGGAAGCCTCAAATTCCGAGGTCCATCAAAAAGACACGCTGAATACATCACTTAGAATCGATGAGCAATGAGTGTGGGGAGAAAAAGAAGGGAGGTTTGGAATGGGGGTGAGAGGATATATATATATACCCGTCCTAATATAGTGCTTGTGAGAATATTGGCCTCTAGAACGTCAACGGACCTCAGAAACCTAGGCGAGTGACGAATACGTAAATTTGACAGAAATCTGACTGTATGGAAATGTATGGTATGAACTGAGTATATTGGAACTCTCTGACTAGCAATAAAACAGGATGAACGCGCGAGTATAAATAGACAAAATTACTAGTCAATAATGTACTTTGGTCGGTTGCATAGACCCGACGTCGTGGAGATCCAAGGTAAATTACCTTGTATCCGATCTTCGGGGGTTTAGTACTGTAACCGACCGGGGTATATGGCTCCGGTATTTGACAAAATTTTATACCAGATGATAAAGTTGATAAAGTGCAAGATCTCTGGATTTACTATGTGTATCGGATTGCGCAACTCGCATGTGAAATACGTTAGGACAATGATGTGAAACACAAGGCAAACCAGGGGGAATTGCATGGTCAGCAGTGATTTGGGTGAACTTGCATATCCAGGCCCATTGACAATGTGATAGAAATAGTTAAAAGCCACTGTAATGTATCTTGTCAAATACCGAGTCCAAATACCCGGTCAGATACAATACTAAACCACCCGTTTGGATACAGGGTAATTTACCCCCAAATTTCCTCAGACGTCGATTCCCACCCGACCAAAAAGTGCAGTATTGACTAGTAATTTTGTCTATTTATGTTCGAATTTTTATCCTGTGTTATTGCTAGTCAGAGAGTTCTAATACACTGAGTTTCACCCATACAATTTGATACAGACCGATTTCTGTTATATCTGGGGATTTCTCAGTCACGTGGGCCGTGTCTTGTCGCGTCGGGCGCTAAACCTAATCGATTATATAGCGTAATGTGACAGCCCTGAACACCCTGAACAATTCCTACGTTATCTGTTCATTTGTGCGATTGACAACAATTGAGGGGATATCGTTGGGAAACAACATAGGCCCCTAGGATAAATTTGCTGTTCTCCACCATTCCACAATATCCCCATCTTCATTGCCCAACCTTGTATCGACTGTGTTGGATGAAGCTGGAGAAACATGGCAGGAAAGCGCAAGTCCAATGTCGATTCTACTGAAGATGCCTTGTACACACAGTCTGGGCGAGTGCCAAAATCCACTCGTACAGCTCCGACTCTGAACACTGAAGCGACCAGTTCAGGCCAAAGATTCGGCGAGACTGTCGACTACATTCCGTTGGACCAAGATATCAGCTTAGGCCAGAGAGTTGGTGCGTCTGTTGACTTCATGCCACTGAATCAGCTGTCACAAGTAGTTGGTGCCGACGAAGATGATGAAGAAGCGCTCAACGTGATTCAAGGATCTCAAGAGGTGGATGAGACCTCTTTAACAAGCTCCATCCTCTATGGTATGCTCCTTTTACTAACCTTGCTTCCTTACCTGGTCTCTGCAAAATATACTAAATAACCTTAAATAGGTATTGTTTCTACAAAGATCGTTGGTGTACGCTTTTATAGGGGTCGTGCCAACCCAGGTGAACGTGTCATCATCAATCGAGATGCCAATAATCAATATGATCGTAATGCTATGAGGGTGGATAATGTCATGGGCGCCCAAATTGGCCACATTCCACGACAGATGGCAGCCAAGCTAGCATCATACATGGTAAGAAACCTCCAATCATATTACTCCCGGGGCATTGGTAACGTTCCTTATCAAAGGATGCCCGCGATCTCATCATTGAAGGCACATTGACTGGGGCGATCGGAGATTTTACATGTCCGGTAGATTTGAAGTTGTTTGGAAGTCGCGATCCTACCAAACGGTCCGATCTGAAGCAACGAATGCAGAAAGACAAGCTTCCTGTTCGCCAGCTGAACGAGCTGGAGCGTGAGGAACGCAAGGCAGAGAAAGAAGCCGAGAAACAGCAAAAGGAGGCCGCAAAGAAAGCCCGCGCCATGGCTCTTGGCAAAGCTGCATCACAGTGGCAAGCCAACCAGAACTCTGAGTATGCGAACCTCTCAACCCCAACGGGGCTTGGTGGCGAGCAAAATGAGAGCTTGGAGGAACTCCTTAACCAGAGCTCTACCTTCAACCCCAGAGATATTGGCCAGGTTGTGGAGACCTTCGGACAGAAGGAGTCTGACTTGGTCAATATGCCGATGGTTGATACTCCAGCCGGCCTTTCCACCCAGCTGCTTCCGTATCAACGCCAAGGACTAGCTTGGATGATCAAGCAAGAATCCCCAAGCCTTCCCAGAAGGGGCTCCGGCGATATCGTGCAGTTGTGGAAAAGGAAAGATAATGAGTTCCTCAATGTCGCAACAAATTATGCTACGGCCACGGAGCCAGCCCTCGCCAGCGGTGGTATTCTTGCTGATGACATGGGTTTAGGCAAGACAATTCAGATCATCTCTTTGATTCTTGCAAATGCAAAGCCTCTCACCGCAGGCTCCTCTAAGGCTACTTTGATCATTGCCCCTGTCGGTGTTATGAGCAACTGGAAAAATCAGATCCAGGACCATGCCCATAAAGAAACCGCCCCGAGTGTCTTGATCTATCACGGCTCCGGTAAGAAGGAAGCTGCGAACTTGGGAAAGTATGACGTTGTGATCACCAGCTATGGAGCCCTAGCCCTGGATTTCAACTCGAAGGCCGATAAAGCGCCTGCTAAGGGTATATTTTCGCTGCACTGGCGTCGTGTCGTGCTTGATGAAGGTCATACAATCCGCAACCCTAGTTCCAAAGCCTCCCTCGCGGCTTGTGGTTTGCGAGCTGACTCCCGCTGGACGTTGACCGGAACCCCCATTATCAACACTCTCAAGGACTTGTATGCGCAAATTCGTTTCCTGAAGTTTTCCGGCGGCTTGGAAGATCTAGGAATTTTCAACAGTGTCTTGATTCGTCCCTTGACCGCAGGAGAGCCCGACGCTCGACTGCTTCTGGAGGCTCTTATGGGTACCATCTGCTTACGACGTAGGAAGGATATGGGCTTCATCAATTTGAAGCTACCCGAGATGACATCTCGTATCATTAGAATCAAGTTCAATGCCCATGAACAGGAGAAGTACAATGCTTTTCAGTATGTATCGAGTGACTACCTACACAGTGAAAACAAATTTACTAATAGCAATCATAGAACTGAGGCCAAAGGTGCTCTTCTCGACTTCAAGGACAAAGATGGCAAGACCAAGTACTCTCACCTCCTCGAGGTTCTCCTCCGTCTTCGTCAAGTCTGCAATCACTGGGCGCTCTGTAAGAACCGCGTTGACAAACTCATGGGCATGCTGGAGGAACACAAGGTTGTACCTTTGACACCCGAGAACGTTCGTGCTCTACAAGAGATGCTGCAGCTCCAGATAGAAAGCCAAGAAATGTGTGCCATCTGCCTCGACACCCTTGAGCAACCCGTCATAACCGCCTGCGCCCACTCCTATTGCCGGGGCTGCATCGAACAGGTTATCGAACGCCAGCACAAGTGTCCACTCTGTCGCGCAGATATCAAGGAAACCAATACACTCGTCGCCCCAGCTGTGGAACTGGGTGAAGACACCGACATCGTTGACGCCGACCCCGACAGTCCAAGTAGCAAGATCGAGACCCTAGTCAAGATCCTGACTGCTCAGGGTCAGGCACCAGGCACAAAGACAGTGGTTTTCAGTCAATGGACTTCATTCCTGAATCTCATCGAGCCACACCTTGAGCAGCGCGGGATCAAGTTCGCCCGGGTAGATGGCAAGATGCCGTCTGTGAAACGTGACAACTCCATCAACTCATTCTCCAACGACCCTGGGTGTACCGTCCTCCTCGCAAGTCTGAGCGTGTGCAGTGTTGGTCTCAATCTCGTTGCAGCGAACCAAGTCATCTTGTGTGACAGCTGGTGGGCGCCTGCAATTGAGGATCAGGCTGTCGATCGGGTGTATCGGCTTGGGCAGAAGCGGGAGACAACGGTCTGGAGACTAGTTATGGAGGATAGTATTGAGGAGCGGGTGTTGGCGATCCAGGAACGTAAGAGGGGTCTTATGCTTGCTGCTTTCCGGGAGACGGCGAAGAAGAAAGCTGAGGATAGAGGCACTCGTGTTGCAGATCTTGAGGCTCTTTTGCAATAGAGGTGTGCCGGGTGTTAGAGGTGGATAACAACTGCATCTATCTGCTGACTAGTGGTCGACATAGGTGACAAAAAATTTGTTTCATCTTGCTTCTTTCCTCCGTATCACTCTTTTCTTCTCATCATTCTAGCTATATCACTAGTAAAAGGTATAATTGTCTACAAAAAAAGACATCCAAACAAACATCCAAATAGATATAATAAGGTCGCATAAGCGTCCAACTATTCTTCCGAGTATGAGATACAAGAGAAATGGCGCTTTCTCAGATTGCTTCCTTCCTCTCCCAACCACGCCTCCTTCATCCACCATTTAGCCACTTGCTCAGTTTGCTTCTTTTTCTTCCCCTCTCCTCACATATGTGGTGCATGGACACCAGGCTCAACTTACTGTACCTCTTCCACGTTATTGACCTATCGAAAAATTAGGTTTTTGTCTTATTCGGATCGAACCGCACACGTCAAGACATGACCACGTGACTGAGAAATACCCGCCAGTCACGTGGCTACAAGTAGAAAGATAAGCTGATAACTTCCCGCCCGCTGAGTGGACGTTCGGTATATGGTAAGCTCCACCGGGGGGCTCTTCACAAGTTTGGAAGGTTGATATATGTGTGATAACAAAGCTAGCTGAAGCAAGAATTTCGATTTCGAAAATATTGATGGAAGCTTCAAGATCCAGCGCTATACCATCTCATCAATACTCTTGCCAATAGTCTGGATATAACCCTTTGCCGTGCGGAGAAACCCCGGCGTTTGCGTGGGGTATGCCCCGTCCCCCGGATTTTATCCGCTCCAAGGTTGTCCAGAGTTTCCATTGATGCATTGACAGCCATATTTTCCTACATCTTTCGTTACAAATGTCCGCTTCGCAGATCAAAGTGATGCCGTCCTATCAGCCGTTCCAATGTCTCGTCTGCCAAAGTCGATTTACTCGACATGAGAACCTCAAGCGACATTCAACGCTACACTCCCGTTCTCAGGCCGAGGCCTCGCTTCCCTGTGATTTTTGCCACGCCACATTCTCTCGTCCTGACTTGCGCAATCGTCACATGAAAAGGAAACATCCAGAGCACGAGCAATATCGAGTGACAAAGAAAACACAGCGCCAACCCGCACCCAGACAAAACAGGCTGCATTCTTCTGTATTGCCAACAGCGATCTCACCTACAGGAAGCCATGGTAGTTTGCCTTCTCCCGGATCTGTGCACTCGAGCCCAGGAGAGGAGACGAGGTTTGATAGTGATGCGATCTGGCGCCCAGTGATGCGGTATCAGCAGCAATTTGACCGTGGCCACCCCACGGAAAACCCAAATATTGCTACTCCAACGACCGGGACAGCCAGAACACAGCCAACAAGAGAAATTTTACAACACCAATCGGAAACGAGCGACTCTGCTTTGATCGATCAGATTGTCCAGGACGCCACAGATCTGGAGCAGAGCTTATTATTAGGTACATCCTTTTTGAAGCCCACCAATCACCTCAACAACCAACTACATCAAATAGCCGATCCACAAGCCGAGCCACTGGATACAAGTCTAGCCGAGTACAGTTTTGCTCATCCGATTTTGGATAGATTGTCACCAAATGACATCCCTCAACTCCAGGACGATTGGGCCCCGACTGCTTTACAAATTTCACGAGGCTGCAATCTATTTTTCAACTCTGTCTCTCATTTTCTCCCTTTCCTCCATTCATCTACATTTGATCCGACACAAGCTCCTCCCCATTTGGTCCTCAGTATACTTTGCCTCGCCTATCAACATGGCGAAGATCCAGAATGCGGGGACCAAGAAGGCTCAGGCTCAAGCTTTTCTATACGTTGCTTTCATAAAGCCCGAGCTCTCCTTTCTTCTGACGAAGATAGACCTGATGCTTCAACAATAATCACCACACTGGTTCAATCATACTTGCTCCTTCAAATCTGTGCTATGATGTACCTTTGTGGCGACAACTCAGCATGCGGGCTCAAGATGCATTCACATATGATCTCTCTGGCTCGCACTGGACGAATGACCCAGCCATTACCTGTTGAGTCTGGTGCGACAGCAAATTTGGATTCATTATGGCGGGAATTTATTAAAGCTGAATCGCACAAACGAACCCTTTTCGCTGTGCATCAGATCGATGCGCTTTGGTACCAATTCCTTTCCATCCCCCGCTCGATCTCACACCTGGAAATCAAGCATGATATGCCCTGTCCAGAAGACCAGTGGTCTTCATCATCTTCTGCTGAATGGGCTCATCGACAGCTTGTTGCAAGAAATTCCGGCCCCTCAGTCACATATACCGATGCTGTTCGACGCTTCCTTTCCTCCTCTGATGAAATCACCTGCATACCAGCATTTGACCCATACGGCGCTATCAACATCGCGCAGTTTCTGATATCAAGCGCCCGGGAAATCTCAGGCTGGTCTACAATGACGGGAATGCTTAGCATGGAACGATTTGGCGCGTTAAGATCATCCCTCGTTGCACTCAGCCCATTCATCTGCTCCGGCAACGCCACAGAACAAACAAAACACGCGAAGTTATGTGGTGCAACTTGGGAGACTGCCATGATCGAGCTGCAGATGTGGTCGCCATCACATACAGGCGGCATTGTGGAAGGAAGTATAGATGCAGTTCTCAGTCAGTCCACATACCTAGGACCGTCACAGTTCCTATGCGATGCCAACACGGCCAAAGCTGTACAACCACATGTGAACTGGTTCCTACAATATCTCGATGAGACGCTCATATTGGACTCTGAAGCGCCGTGGGTTGCTTTGTATGCGTATAAAGCCTTTTTGATTGCCTGGCAGCTAATACAAGTTGGTGTACCTGGCGCAATGAATGCTGTGGGCGTTCGTGACGGTGATATGGAAGAAGCCCTGATGTGGGCGAGAAAGGTCTTCCAGCGAAGGCAGAAATGGCAGCTTGGGAAACTCATTTTGTCTTGTTTGGGTGAGTTAGGCAAGTAAAACACTTTCTTCTTACGGTTTAACTATTCACTGAATATGTGCCTTGTGTTATTATTTTGTGATCGTGTTTACTCGGTATATATGAAGACCGAAATTCTAAAAATATTGGCTAGGAATGCTTAGGCGTACTCAGTTGCGCATCTCATACCAGGTACAATATAAAGATGTAATGATGTAAAACTGTACAATGTAAAAATATAACAAACTGTCAGATTGAAACGCTACATATATCTAGATCTTGCACACAGCCTGCTGGCATAAATCATCCAGAAAAGCCAGGGGTAATAATATCAAAACAACAAACCCTTCCAGCCATTGCCTGTATTCTAGTTCAAACAGGCAGGACAACCTTGACACCCATGTACTCTCGTTGATGCATAATCTTACCATCAATAAGAACCTGATCAGCACCAACTCTGTTGCGCTCTTGGTCCGTAGGATCCGTGGCGGTAGAGATCTGGATTTCGCGCCATTGACGGTTGGTAGGCACAAGCTTTCCCTGGGATGTGAGATTTTTGAACTCCTTGTAGACACCCTGTTCCTCAACGCAGCCCTCTCTTTGAATGAGAGGAGAAGCTATAAGCGACTATGTTAGCGTACCTGTGGTTATCCCAAATGCGTTGATCTCAATCTACTAACCTGCTGCAGGACCCATGCGCAAGTCACCCACAGAGCTATTGAAAAGCACCAGGGAGAGACGCTCCTGCTGTAATTGGTCGACAGGAGGCTTGTAAACACGGTGACGAGTAGCCTTGAAATGGCCACCAGAAACAATCTCTAGGGTATCACCGATATTAATGACTAGCGCACCGGGCTTGTAGGGCACGTAGTACCACTGCTCATCGCGGCCCCAGATCTGGAGACACGAGATAGGGACGGAGAAGAGCAATGTGGTCAGACCGAAGTCAGTATGGCCGTGCATGCGCAGGCCCTTGGATGCCTCTTCGGTCTTCTTCTGGACGGGGCGGAACAGTGCATGGCGGAAGTAGCCCTCGCCAGTAGGGCAACCGTGTGACTGAACATTGTCCCAGAGATAATTGTCGGGCAATTCGAGAACGCGGGAGAAGAGAGTCAAGAGGCGACGGTTGACGGACTTGGTCAGATAGTTGGAGAACTCTTCAATCTCGTCCATAAATGGGTGAAGGCACGTGGGCACACGGTTAATATCGTTCCAGTCGGGTTTGTACCAGTTGAATTGCTCGATGCCGTCTTCGGGTCCGCGTTCGCGCTAATCATAAAAAGAGTAAGTACAGGGGTTGATTCTCTTAATGCAAGAGACAGGCCCTCTTACCTTGAATCCATAAGGGTGTTTGTAACCGGACCAAACACCAGTTTCAGGATCGAACAGAAGGCGCTTCTTGTCCTCTTCACTAATGTTATGGTATAGATACTGTGCAAGAGAGAATTGACGATGGAGCTATTGAAAGAGATACATTATTAGCGACGTTGGTCTTCGAATACTTCCTAAGAATCAAAACTTACCTGCTCTAGGGAAACTCCATAGTTTTCAAGGAAAAGGAATCCATCATCACGAATGGCGACCTTAACCTGTTGGACAAGTTTCTCAACAACGGCAGGGTCATCCGAGTCCATCAAAGAAAGATCAATGGAGCTAAGCTCAGCAAAGTTCTCCTTTTGCTGAGTGACCGGCGGCGGGACCCATGTTGGAACAAAAGGCTTGCCAGGGAGGTCAGCCGCAGGGGGATTGAAGGGAGCTGCAGGTGTCATGGGTAATATATGTGCAAAGAATGTTCAATATTGTGATCGATGCAGACAGTACATGGAAGACTAACTGATCGAGTTCTATACCTACTTTATACTAATCTAAGGATGAGAGATGAAACCCTATCTGTGTATCCGATATCCGGGGAGGCGCGAGTATGGCATGCTTCATTCAGTTAGATCAGATGGATTATCGACCTCTAGTGACGCCACTAAATTTGGTGATAATTGTCTTAGATGCTCCTTGTTACATTTCCTCACAATTCCTCGATATCTCTGTTATCATCAACGGAGCCTCGGGGGCTCCTGGCCTTGGAGCATCCACGGGTGTCAAACCTTAAAATATGCTCAAACAGTGACGCTAGGCCCAAATTGGAAGAAGATTGAAGCACTATGGTGGAGTGTATACAGTGGTGGATTGTGGCCACATAGTCAATGCTGATGATTAGGTGGGGCTTTACGCACTGATACATATTTTAAAAACATGGCCGCAATAATCTACCCAATATAATGTGCTCCTCCCTCTTACTCCCACTCCTCCCACTCCTCCCATATCCCCTAGAAGGTGATAATGAATAAACTACCAACCCAGAGAACACTGCTCCTCCATCCCGATGATGATAATTGCCCCTCTTCTTGATTGACAATTATGCCTCGGATAGAGACACATGAGGGGTAGCTTGGTCAATTTAAACAAGCTCTTAGTACTTCTGAATTCAACTTGACACACTCTTGAAATTGTACCATCGCAAAACTCCTATCCTCTTCAAAATTACCAGCAAAGATGTCTCGTCAACTCATCTCCAGCGAGAAGTTCCCTACCAAGCCGCACAACTGTGAGTATCTGATGCAAACACCCTGCATTCTCTCTAAAAAAAAAAAAAGAAAACAACTAACCAAGCTATTCAGGCCCTGCCGTCAAAGTCCCCGGACTCGTCTTTTGTGCAGGCCAAACCGCCACAGGAGAGATTAAGCAGGCGACTGTACGTTCAATTGCACAAGCAGTTATCGGGTACTAAGGCATTGGCTGACATTTTGCTGCTTTTACACAGAGAACCGTTCTGCAAAACCTGAAGGAGGTCCTCGAGCTTTCTGGCTCTTCCCTTGAGCAGGTCGTCAAGTACAATGTCTACCTCGCCGATATGAAGGACTTCGCCGCCATGAACGAAGCCTACATCGATTTCCTCCCACAGCCCATGCCATCGCGCTCATGTCTTCAAGCGGTTGCCCCTGGAAATGGTACCGTCATTGAGATTGAGTGTATCGCGCAAGCTTAAATTATAATATTATGAAAAGGACTAGAATATAGACGATGAAAATAAAAATTATTTTTGAATAGAGCATCAAGTTGCCTTATCTAGAGCAGAGTAACCGAGACATTACATGCAAGAATAGTTGGCCGCTTATGCGGCCTTGTGATGTCTTTTCAGTGGTATTCTCAGATATTCTGTTTTACATAATTAGACATGTCCTCAATCAAGCAGCTATATACCACTGGGAGTTGAACCTATTATGCGTCGTGTGTGATTACCTGAGCTTCTATTTGTATAATGAAGTAAGCAAGCAGGTAGGACGATGTTTTAAACGATGAATCTATGAGTGGATTACTACTTTTGCCCTCCACTTTACACATATTAGATTTAACAGCAAGGGAATCTATCTTAGGGGGCGAAAGGGTACACTTGTTGGTTTCCAATGTCCAAGCCAATACACGTAGTTAGATCGGAGATTCTCCGGATTTGAAGTTGCATTCAATTGGCGTAGAGAGGAAAAGATTATTGGAACTCAATTTGTCTATTTAGATTTTATATATGAAACATTTGAAGTCTATCATGAAGTATCATAAAGTCATCCACCTTCTCATGAGCGAGCAATATCGAACTCTGCCATGTACCAGTTCTGGAGTGCCTTAGTGTCACCAGTGACGGCGACGGTATCATACCGCTCCCGAGCCTCCTTAGCCGCTGTACCGTTGTTGACCATGCGACCAGCCCACTTTCCATGTTTGCGTGCAGCAGCAATAATCTTATCAATAGCAGAGACGAACTCAGGCTCATCGCCACGAGCCGGTGTGTATCCAAGCAGAGACTGGGCAAGATCATTGGGGCCAATGAAGACAAGATCCACACCTGGCACAGCGCAGATAGCATCGACATTCTCGACACCGGCGCGGGTCTCTATTTGAATCATGGTAATGATAGTCTCGTTGGCGGACTTCATGTATTCAGGAGTTGTGAGGCCGTGGCCGATTGCGGGGAAAGCTGAGCCCTGACCTCTCACACCTTGGGGAGGGAATTTGGAGGAAGCGACAATTTGTTCGGCCTCTTCGGCGTTGTTGATCTGGGGAACCATGATGCCATGGGCGCCGGTATCGAGGGCGCGCTTGAGGATATCGTGGGCAGGGCCGCGGATGCGGATGACCGGGGAGACACCGAGGGAGGAGATGGCAGCAACAGAGTTGTGCATGGCATCGTCACCGATGTGGCCGTGCTCACAGTCAATGATGATACCGTCGACACCGGTCAAGGCAACGATCTGGGCTTGGCGGATGGAGGGGATGGCCATGAAGGTCATGAGCGGGAACTCGCCAGCCTTGATCTTGTTGAGGAGCCTCAATCGAGAGTTATCGATTGAGGTTGTGAGAGCGGTAGTGTAAGCCATTGTGATAATAGAGGTATTAGAAAATTGAGGGTAATTTGGAGTTGTCTGGGAGTTGAGAGTGTGATGAAGACGAGATGTATCGATAAGATGCCAGCTTAAGTATCATTTATTGGTTTACGTATCCTTATCCCCCTCATTTCTCTAGACTAAAGATAGTAAAAATCAAACGAAAATGAGGAGCTTAGACATGGTCAACCTGAGCTCTTGCATGGTCGTTAGGGCAAACTAGTGGCAAACTTACAGGGTGGCTTATCGCCTGTTTACAGTTTACATTAGTGGCCCATCTGAAAAAGTTTAATATTATATGGGACTTACCCTCGTGATTTTAAGTTTTGTCTAAGCGGCCACTAAATCTGTCTGTCCTAACCTGCACCTCTCAAAAACTTCTTATCGACATGCGAGAGCTCCTCCCAGGCTTAGCTCGATGTACCCCAGATTTCACCCAAGCTCTACATCCCGGGGTAACCGATTCTAATTGGACAGATACCATTGGCCGCTCCGACATATGCCTATCTCCAGGGCTATCTACTCGTCTCACTTATCATCTACTACGAATAACCCAATCTCGACCAATCAATGCCTCGAGATTCTTTAAAAAGAAGTCCGCTGAGCGGTAA